AATCCACCAAACACGTACTGACCAACACGAACTATCGTCACTGTTGCTTTCTTTCCGTCACACTGAGGATGGAATGTGAAACGAKTATCCCATCCATCTTCAGCGGCKTGCCAACATCTMACCCATTGGCTTGGATTTGATTGATGTAAGGCAGTATTGATAAAGAGATCCAATGTCTTCACGTAGTTGTCGTTGCCGTAGTCAKTTAGGATGGTGGAATTCTGAAGTCCTCCTGTATAATAGAAATAKTAATCTCAATGAGCGCAGATCTATTCAAATTTGTATTTATAACTATAGGCGGACTCTAGAGTGTAGGGTTTTGCAACAGCAAGATTTTTGACGTTGATTTGACTGACAAGTTTTCAAGGATAAAAGAAGTTCTTAACGGAGTTATTCATCAAGCGTCAAGTTGTCGAAAATGTTCGCCATTGTCGATGTCCAACTTCAATATCTACAAGGGATGGTGGAATTCCGAAATCCTCCTAATAAATCAACATTTTCAAATTAATTTTGCTTTTTATGATGGATCATATTGCAGTCTTATAAATAGCTAAAGGTAAGATTAATTATAAAGAGGCGTTGAATTGAGTAATCCATATTTAGAATAATGTTTGAACTGTCAATTGTTTTGGTTATTCAGTCCCACTAACTTACTAGTTATCTGGCCAGCGTAATAGAAGACTTCCACATCGTCAGGCTTAAATTTCTGTTGACCAGTAAAATAAGTGCAATGTACGCCAAGGYTACAACCAGGCGGGGACTGGTAACTGGTAACTGTCGTATATGAATTTGCAGTACTGGTAGCAAAATTAGCAATGTGTAGGTCATGCAATACCAATCCAAATGTTGGTCCATATATTGGGGCGCCATAGATAGCATTAATCTGATGGTTTGGCCTTGTTAGGTTCAACTGGATGGGTTGATATCCTTTGGTGTTGTACAGCGAGTATAGAAAGGACCTTGACGACTTGGTGTAAAGTAGAGCACCTGGAAAGGGATTTA